TCTTGGATGGAGACATCGGGATCAGAATAATCTATGGTTAGAGACACGGAGTGATGTGGCGAAGTGTCGTAAAGAGCGCCGTTCGTGCATCTTCTCCATTTGTTTGCAATTTGAGTTCACGAAAGTTTTTCACTTCTCTTCGACTCTACGTTCCGCTTTCCTACCTTTCTGCCACTGTTTCATCCAAATGGGGAGCCAAGAGACAGCAACCAAAACCGGCGCATTAAAGAGCCAGTGCAAACTGAACTGGTAAATATCCTACATGTATTTAAACCGTAAAAGCACAGGGATTCGTGTCAAGATTCAAAACCCAGTATGGTATTGTGCGTAAGCAAACAATGTAGCTAAATCGCTCATCTGGTAGGGTGCACGCGATGCGGGTGACGCTCAAACACGTATAGCGGAGCCTCATCGGAGCTCTGCGGAGCGCTTTCGAAATCGGAAACCTGATACTGCAACTCGTTTATAGAACGACAAAACAGAGAACAATACCATAATTTTCCAGATAATATACGTTTAGATAAAAAAAACCTTGTTTATGCTGTAACTGCACAGAATTTAACTCGGTACAGGATACCAAAAGGATCGCCTTTCGGTATGTTTTTCTCGTCTAAAGAGAAACTCCATAGGTAGCGAAACAAAACACAGTTGAAATTCCGTCATTGTGCAAAAATCAAGATTATTTGTAACGAAGAGAGAGGACCTAAGATTGTATATATCCAACGTATAGTTGACTTGATTGTTGTTGATCGTCTTGACTGCTTGGCGGTTCCAGCCAATCACCTGAGTTCACCTATCCTTGTTCTGATTGGTTGTACCAGAAAAAAAGCAGTTTTTAGGGAGCATGCTGTCTCCCCCAAAGTTTCAAGTTCCAAATTCCAAACAACATGAAAGAAAAAGATGCCTATAAAAAACAAACAGTTACTTCTAGACTCAAACCATAATCCAGACCCTAAGACACCAACTAAACTTTAATTAGATCAGAGACGGAACAGATTATGATCAAATTAAAGGTTAACCAAAAGCGTCCGTTGCGCATAGCAGGAAAACCTTGAATATTAATAGCTATTCTCTGAACTGATACGTGTTTCAAAATATGTATATATATAAGCTACTCATAAGTAGTCAAACGAAGAAAAATAACCGATGATTGTATCGCGGTGTGACCTACCCAATGTACGTAAGATGCACGGATATCCTCCATCATGGTCAGATAAGTTATTGGACAGCAGCAAGTAAACGACGGGCGGTGAAACAGGAATGCTGGAGCAGAGGAGGTGTTCCGGAAGGGAGGATGAATGCCGTCACCGGAACCACCGAACTGAGTGCAGTTGTGTTTCCAATGCGCCGGGTATGTCTTCCGGAAAATGCAAAAACAAACGCGATAGTCATGGTAAAATGGGATATTAAACAAGAAAACTTTCGCGTACCGTCAACTCAGTTTAAAATAAAAAGAGATCAAGTAAAGTAAGGAATAGTCATAGTTGGAGAGCAATGCACAGTATAGTTGTTGTGCAGGGGGAAAATTTGAATATGGTGACCCAACTGATCGTATTCAATAAATTTACCTCGAAAGAAAGATACTTGAATTTGCGAGTAAATAGATGCAGGCAACAAAAGTATGCGTGATGAACAGCAGAGGTAAAAATTAAAATAATATTGGCCTGAGGTGGAACACAAATGATATATGTTGAATAATTCCATTGTGATTTCTGTTAAACCACTACAGATGTTTTGATTACATTTCGGTCAAATATGCCGTCAAAATGATGAAAAATGATATGCAGAAATAATCGGTTATTGGGATCAGGAAAAGACAATCGGATAAGTTTGAGTTAGTGTCCAAATTTGGTAAGTGGCTCTGTTTTCAAGCTTTTTTATGCTCATCAGAACTTGAACTCAGTAGGCTACGGAGAAATTTTTGGACAGATTTATTTTAGCGGATGGAGGTAAAATTCTGAATGAGAGCGACAATTAGATAGACCCTTTTTAATGAATGTGTGGGGTTTTCAAATATTTTTGGGGTAAAAATTAAAAAAGAACAATTAATGAGTTGATTGATAAATTCGATAAGTGGAGCACCAATAGAGAGAGACGCAACACGACTGAGAATTTCTAAGTCGCGGAGAAAAGCTTTGAAGATGTTTTTCTCATAAACGAAAAAATTGCCGGGATAACAGGACAGCATTACAGAAGGAACATATTGAACTTTTAATGATGGTAAACAACCTGTCACAGATAATATGTAAAAGTCCCGGGGAAATCATGGCATTAACAATCTATTGAACAAATAAGTTAGTAAAAAATCAGGCATAACATGTTTCAGATCACGAAGCAAAAATGAAAAAGTAACATACGAATTTAAAATGCTTCGCATCGTGGACTGAATGTATCACTAACTCCAGAGTTAATTCGAGTAAAGAACAAGGTCAAACCTGTTGATTTAGTTTTGTCGTAAAGTTACTTAAATGAATCCTTCATCTATTCAGTTCAGGTTAAAGAACCGCTAACCCGGTACTCATGTGCTCGGTTTTAGTTGCTATTTGTAAGAAACACAAATGGTGATAGATCAGATGGATCGAGCACATGTCAACCAGAAAACCTAATGCGACTCACCCTCTACTCAGCTCGATACTACAGTTTGTGAAAACTTTTGGTTAGGTTATGGATGGGTCAGTGTAAGCCCCTCGCCATTCACCATTCCCTTCGGATAATGATGGTAGTTGAGGGGACGCAGTCAGCACGTCTTGAATGACGTAAATCTGTGAAGATTAAGTGATCGACAGCGCCTCAAATCAACTTCCGCGGGGGGAGATATAACTGTCTAGGTGGCGATTTGGATGGTTGCCACTACGAACAGTGTTATACATCCACAAGACAGTGAAGGGACGAGTCATTTAATTGAAGGACAGGGGACAGGGGAAAATAAGATTACAGAGAACGGAACATCTAATTTGCAAGGATTGTTTATTATTTTCGTGATCGTCTCTGTTTTACTGATCACCAGCCTAACATTCTGTCTGTCTCTTCTGTGGTTACAATGGTAAATCCTTTAATCCACTCACTGATGCTGTGGGAATCCAACAACCGCAGCTTGGTGCGCGCAAACTACTCACAAATGTGAATAGTACCTACACTACTAACTCTGGTTGATGTCCACACTGTAGTGCAGTCACGTCCAGAGCTGTTGAAGTGGGTTCGCTTACACATCCCCCCTGATGGGCACATCTACCTGAGAGAACAAGACGGGTCAGTGACCCAATTTCGGCAGTCCAGACTGGAATAACTTAGTGTGCACATGCATGCACTGGTGTGATGTGGTCGCAATCTTCGGCATACATTCGTAGGCAGAGCGGTTTCAGTCAGTTGATTGATCGAGTGATCATCGTGCGTCTATTTTCAATCATACTGTAGATCTCCAGAAACCACAAAATTTGGATGATATCATAGTGCAAATGAAATACCAATTATTGTAATCATACACATTTACAAGTCAGAACAACATCATCCGCGTACAATGTGTCAATTGAGAGAATTTCTATTCGCCCTGGGGGGATTATTTGTGCCAAACATTACCAAGCACAACATATCAGTGACTGAGCTTCAGGATCACAACAACCTCGTGGTAGCTCAGTTCAGTTCAGTTTGTACAACCATTAACCATGCACTAACGTGCGCCGGTTCTGGTTGCTTTCTTTCGGTTGCCCATTTGGATGAACACTAGGAGAAAGACAGGAAAGGTAGAAAGTAGGATAGAAGAGAAAATTGGAAAGTTCAGTGGACTAATGATACAGAGAAATTGAGATGCACGAACGCTATTGCTTCCGACACCCAACCATATCACCAAGTGTAGCTAACCATCGGTAACTATCATCCCGAGGTCCCGATGCGGAGAGCCTAACGGGACCTGTGACCCAGACTCCTGGTTAGGGTTTTCATACCCTCATGCCAAGTCTTAGCTTGACCACCCCGACTCTCTTCCACCCACAACCTGCCTTGACAAACATCGCTCGCCGTGGCAACCTATCTGGTGACATGCGTAACACATGCCCCAACCAACGTTATCTAGGGGGGGTCGACCATTTGCTGCCACGGACGGTCGCGATTAGCTGATACTCTGCGCCTAACCTCAGAAATAGCTCGTCCGGCTGCCCCACCAGATTCGTGCAATGCTGCGTAGACAGCAATGTTCAAACACCGACAGTCTATATTTGTGCTGTTTTCTTAATGTCCAAGTTTTTGCTCCATATAGCAGAACTGGCCGAACTGCTGCAGCATACACTCGACCCTTAGTAGACAACCGGATGTCGCGACGGCGCCATAGATGTTTCAAGTCGGCAAATGCCGACCGAGCCTTCTGTATGAGAGCTGACACTTCTTTCGTGATGCGTCCACCGGGTAGCTGCCCAGATAACAAAACTTATCCACCTTCTCTATTACTTCCCCAGTTAAAGTGAGGCCGGATGCTGGACCAACCCAGTTTTGTAGTAACATTTTACACTTTGAAGGTGCAAAACGAATACTGAACATGGCTACACTGGCATTCAAGTTATCCAGAAATGCTTGCAACTTACCTGAATCTTCACTTAGTAGCACAATGTCGTCTGCATACTCTAGATCAGGCGCACAGTCGGCTGCTGAATGGAATCCAGTCGATAAGCGAGTGTTCAGTCTTGGAACTTAACGCAATCCCGACACCAGCAACACCGCGAGCTTCGAACGCCGAATCGCCTGACACACGGAGGGTGAAGCGTGAGGTTGAGGTTGGATCACGAGAACGCAGGGAGATAATGGGAGTAGGGTCTTATATGCGTGTTTCGGAGACACAACATATATCTAAATTGAAAGTTTCAAGGGTTCTAGCTAGCTCAGTATCGATTACTCTTATTAAGTTCACATGGATATGCCGAATGAAAACCAAATTACTTGTATCTGAGTATTGCAGGAAATCACCTTTGATTTTCACCGTTTACCAAAAACCACCAACTGAGTCTATCTGATCAACGCTCATTGGATAGTAGACATTTACCATAGATCCAACGGGTACTGCTTACTTCTGATTGTTTGTGATTATCCGGCCAGTGATCTGCATTCGCGACGACGGTAATGGGGTGTTTCTGACGAAATAAGCACACAAATGGATCCAGATGATCAACGTCTGAAGATGAAGAGTGATACAAATGACATGGTTGGATATCGCGCGCTGGCCAACAATAGCAACGTGAGCAGTAGTTCTGTGTTAGTAGCGGAGTCTTGAAAGCAAATGGAGTCACTTGTCTCTGCGGACGATTGGATGTGCCCTGAAATGGAATTCAACGCATCAGTTTGGTTTTGGTCAATACTCATGCTGAAGATTTGAGTGGCTGAATTGCGCCAAATACTTGGGAAAATTTAGAAGCCCTCTCGTAGGTAAACGAAAACATTGCCCATCGGATCACAGTGCGGCAAAACATCTCCACAGTTAGCAACTCAGTTACTATTGATGGTTCATCATCAAACAATGGAAAACAGTGAGGTTAGCTTCACCGACCGCTACCAAGCTCAGTGTACACCAAGTATGTGAAAACGCGTACGGTTTGTACAGAGATTGTGCTTATATTGAGGATGGGGAAAAGAAAGTGAAACTCCGTGGATAACACACAGAGCACGCAATCTAACATACATACACACCTTTACAAGCATTCTGGTCTGATAAAGAGTGACAACAAGAAGGCCACTGCTATTGTTCCGCTGGCACATCTTTCAATATCTCCAATCAACCAGTTAAAGTCTTCGGACCCTAACCTGGAAGACGGGATACATCTAACCTGCTTAATTGCTTCGTGCAGTTCTTTATACCTAATTTTCAGCCAACGGTTTGACCTCCAACTGATTTCCTCAAACCCGGAGCAGTCACAGTGAACACGGAGGGGTGCAACAGACGAAAACTGGGTATCGGTCTTCTGACCATAGAAGCATGCTAACCTGAATTCCATGTGTTCACCAATTTTCCACCGAATGATTCCAAAATACTCGTCGGCTTGTCTCAACATTCAGTACTCGCTAGCTCCACTCAACTGACGCCAAACTACGTAGACATTGATGGTCGAAGAACTGTAGACGATGTTTGTGTTCCACTTAGTAACTTACGGGCTTGTAAATGTACAACAGAACTAACCCCACAGCGGCGCAGTATACGCGACTTTCAGTTTCAAGGGAACATCACATCGGTGTCAAAGATATTTCAGTCCTAGGTATATTGTCCAAACCTTGGAAATGCGGTCGGTTATCTTTTTTACTCTCCTATATTTGTTGTGACTTCTCGAAAACATATCGATGGAAAATTGCCATGATCAAAACCGTAAAACTAATTTGAATTCGATTATATAGTGAATTTCGTCGCGTAAAGACCATAGAAGCGTGAACTCTATTTGTGAAGGAGTGAAAATCGAAGAGCAGCATTCAAAAAAAGATCCCGGATGAGGGTAAAAGGTATGTACGCAGAGGCCAGACTGTGTGCCAAACAAATCACCCTACAATAATCTTTAGAAAAAGGAAAACATTCCACGACTTGCATGTGAGCCGAGTACTGCCAGGTTGCCCAAGCCAAGGTAGGTGAATTGTCTTGGGGAATCCACAACCGGAGCCTTCGGTTAACCAAAGTCTGACCCGCAAGATAATGGGGCGGTGTGAAAACCGCAATTTATTGGGATTGGGGTCTGGTTCATCGGATCATATGCCCCTCGGACGGGGTCAAATTTACAAGGTGCCCAATACACCTCGATGCCCAATTGAGCCGATGGCCATTGCCACAACCGGAAAGGTGTGGATGTAACTCGTACACCTCTTGGTTGTTTTGGAATCAGGGTTTTCGGTCAACTCCCTTAGGTGAACTGCCAGTGATTTACCAACCCGGTTATAGACCCGGATGTCGGCTTTTCGTCCTCTAACTTTGGTAGGAAAACCCTTCCGCCAAGAGAAGGTACTGATTAGAGCTTACTCACCACTGAAAACGCGAAGTTTAGTCACAAGAGTAATCTCTTTGTGAGCCCAGCGCGTTTTTGAAGACGGGGAAATCCCCTTCTGGTGCTTATATTTCGCTTAGCCAATTGAAACATACATTTGCAAGCTAAAATACACTCAATGGGTGGATCACTGATGTGGATCAGCCGTGCGAATAGACTACCACGTGTTAATGCTAGGTTCGTTTGTGCGCTAATCTCCAAACGAATCACCTTTGCAACTCGTTTTATGTATTCTGAAACCGGTAGATGATTAGTCGACTCATCAAATATGCTACTGTCGTCCGAAAATTCCAGAACAGCTAGAGTAAATGCCTGGCCGAGTACGGTATCTATCACATAGCAGAATAGTGCCAGTGATAGCCGTGTCTTACAGAATGTAAAGGGAAACTTTTGGCTCCCTCTCCCTAGTTACGACCTTATCGGTCTGCAATACCTTTCAAGTCCCAAGGACATGTTGCTTTCTGTTTTCGTTGCATAGTAGGTTCCTGAGAATGCGAAAGATTTCTTTAATGATGCGATACACCAGCCCCAATCAACAGCAGTTTTTATCCGTTGTTCCACTCTGCCCTTATGGGTCAGGCTTTGACAAGTCGAAGGCTCCGGTTGTGAATTCCCCTAGAAAATTCACCTGCTTTATTCTGGGCGATTTGGGAGTAGTCCTCCCAGGAGCAAACAATAGACTGACTTATTTGTCATGTATTTGTATTTTACACATCTGGATCCAGACCGTGTGTCAAACAAATCCCATCACACAAATCTTTATAAAAATAAAAATTTTCTCTTTCATGCAGATTTATGCACCTTGATGTGTTTGACTCATAGTCAGTTCAGTTCGGTTCGAACAACCCTTAACAATGCACTTTCATGTGCCAGTTTTGGTTGTTGTCGTTTAGTTGTCCATTTAAATGAACAGTAGAAGGATAAAAAAAGTTGAAAATAGAGTCGAATAGAAAATGGAGTAGTTCAGTGGACTTATGTTGCAAAGAAATTGAGAAGATGAACGAACGTCACTGTTTACGACACTCACTGTGTCTCTAACCATCGGTTACGATCATCCCGAGGTCCCCATCCAGGGAGCCTAACGGGACCTATGTGAGGTAGTCTCCTGGTTAGGGTTTTCATACCCTCGTGCCAAGTCTTAGCTTGACTACCCTTGGCTTTATTCTACCCACTACCTACCTTGAGGAACATCGCGCGCCGTGGTAACCAAGCACATAGTCTTGACTCAGACAAGTGTGAAGTAGAATAAAAACGAAGGCCATAAACCACACATTAGAGGTAAAATATACAACTGTTATCATATACGTGGCACGCGATTGGTATGGCTTAACTATGAATTACGAACACCCCGAGCTTGACTTTTTTACAACAAAGAAGAAGTTCCATAATTTTGTGTGCAGATTCAAACGGATTATATGGTTTGTATGAGTGGGTTTCAACTCCCATCCGCACAATTGTCTACTGATACTGACCAGGAATGATCACCTCAGGAGATATACCTCTAAACTGATGCTTCAAAAGAGTCGGCTAGACTGCTGGCGTCATTCTTTCAGCCTGAGCGTGTAATACATCAAACTCTCTTGCACACCATCCATCCGTCGATTTGTTCAATTCCCTTGCTCCATGAAGCATGGCAACATTGAACGGCTCCGGTTCGATGATTTGATATTTTGTTGCACTATCATCCGCAGACCGTTTGTACAAATCCTACGGGGTTCAGTAAGCTTCAGATTTGTAAATTACCCCTAATAAAATCTTGAATGCCTATGTTCCTCACTCGTTGCACTCAGCCACCTCTGTATTAACGGTCGGTCGTTTCTAATCCTGTGTTATGAACGACAATAGGGAGCTTGTTGGCTGCAAGTAGGACGGGTTTTATGGCGACAAAAAACAACTTATCATTCGTGTCATAAAACATTACAACTGGTACCGCGGAGATGTGTATGCGCGTGTAAACCCTCTTATAGGGTAAAGCAAACTATGAGTGTACAACTGCCGTGCCTAGTGCGCAATGAATTCGAATTGCACTCTGTTCGCGATTTATTGAACACGTATTCTAACCAATGATCACTTACCTGCGGATAGGTTCTGTGATGAGTTCTGTACGGTGGAGTGGACCTTGCTGTATCAAACATGCAGGATATCACCTTGATTTGTGCATCTGGACTGGCCCATGCGAGACGAAGTGCACCACTGGTGGCACAAACGCTGATTTGCACACCACCGATAGGCCATGGAGTGGATGCAAAACAACCGCAGCTGGAAATTCCCTGTTCTCTCTCAGATCCACACAACTGTGACACGGAGCTATAGATCTGAAGACACGGGGGAATACAATCCGAGCTGGAAGATATAGTAGTGGCGACCTGTGGATTAACAGATCGTGCCAATAGTCTCTGACCGACAGTAACTGGATTAAATGCACAAGGAGTCCGATCGGACATAGCAGGCAAATCCAAATTTAGCAAAAGCACTCGCAAATGTAATGGACACGATCGCGAATTGGTCATTTCGGCAGACAAGGTTCCGGTCAAATGGGAGCAGGCATTCACGCAATGCTCACAATCGACATCCGGCATCGAACCATACGCTGCTACCACTCCGTCACCATCATACTGGAAAAAAGAAAATCAAAAAATCCTGTTCTTTGCAATCAAGGAAAAACGTAGAACACAAAACAAATAAGGTTTAATTTCTGCTGGCACTTGGCACATCGAGTTTTCGCTGTATTTATTCATTGTGTAGTAACTTTTATCTATCCCCATATTTCAGTTGGAAATACTTGGGATTCCTATCGGACCATCTACTGTACTGTTACCTGGATCAACATCTCACAGCAAATGTGATCAGGNNCTGAACACCTGTTTGGTGACTTCAAGTGACAAGTGAGTCATTTATAGTTTACAGTACACTTCTATCGACGGTTGTGGCGTAAGTGTTAGACAGTTTCCATATTAGGCTACGTTACTACATTTATCCCCAAGGGACCAAATTTTGTTTTCTATTCCCAGTCCTGCGGTCTAGATTATTAGTTTCCAGTTTTACAACCAAAAACCATGCATCTTTGTGCAGTGCTTTCGTTGTCTTCAGGCTGTATTTTTGAATAAAGAGCAGAAGGAAGATCGGAATTACGATTATACCGAGGTCTCCATCCAGGGAGCTTGAAGTGAACTATGAGACCCAGTCTTCTGGTTAGGTTTTTCACACCCTCATGCCAGGTCTTAGTTTGACCGTCCTTGACATTTCCCCATTTACTACTTGCCCCTCCAAACATCAAGTGTAACACACCCCAACCAGCGTAATCTGTGAAGGTCTACTAATTGTTTCCGTTTTTACAACCATTAACCGATTGACACAGTAGGCAATCGTGATCACCTAAAAATCTGAGTCTAACCTAAGCATCACTTGTCCGGTTTACCCAACAGACTCGTGTAATTTGGTGTAGACAGCGATGTTCAAACACCGACAACCTATCTTTATCCTGTTATTGTAATGACTAAATCTCTGTAGTGGAAAGCAGTTCTGATTGAACTGTTGCAGCATACACTCGACCCATCGCAGACAGCCGGATATCGCGACGAAGCCCTAAATACCTCAAGTTATCAAACGTCAATCGAGCTTTCATAATTATCATCATCATCGCACAGCGAAATACAGTAAGGCGAACTTCACTGATCGCTGCCAAACTCGCAATGCATACAAGATTAGTGGTAAAATTTAAGGTGGACAAGGATTGGACCTATTTTGAGGAAGGGAGAAGGCGAACCACTATGGTCAACACACAGAATGCACAATCGAACTCTGCATACATACCGTTTCAAGCGTTCTCGACTGATAAGAAATGACAAAAAGAACGCCACTGCTGTTGGCTCACTGCCATAACCTTTAATGTCTCCAACCAACCGGTTGTGGAGTATTTCGGACCGCAACCTGGAAGGCGAGAGACACCTACTCTACCTAGTAGCTTTGTGCAATTCTTCGTGCCTCGTCTCCACGTCATCTGCTGACCTCCACGCGGTTTCCTCCAGCCCGGATTAGCCACAGCGAATAAGGCGCGGTGCGGCAGATGACAGCTAGGCATACGCAATACGTGCCCTAACCAGCGAAGTCTACTAATCTGAATTCGGTATGCTAGCAGGTTTATATTTGATAGACTCCCAACACACGACGGCTTACCTCTACGTTACTAACCCGTTCGCTCCATCCCACGTGGGTTAAACTGCGTGAACACCGATAATGAAAAACCTCTAGTCAATGGATATCTACTCGCAAATTCAAGGTCTCAAAACTATAAAGCAGAACGGAACGAACGCTAGCGCAGTACACACGACCTTTCAGCTTTAGTGAAATGTCGCGTCTACGCCAAAGGTGTTTCAGTCCTGCGTATGCTGCTCGAGCCTTGGAAATGCGGGCGATTATCTCCTTTGCTACACTACCGTCATTGTTCACGTAACTACCGAAGCAGGAAAAGTAATCTACCACAACTAAATCCTGGCCATTTAGTGTCAGAGTGGGAGTAGACGAAACCCAGTCCTGCAGCAGCACTTTGTACTTTGAAGTTGCAAAGCACATACCGAATGTGGTAACTGCACTTATTAGTCTATCAAGTGTACTTTGCGCGTCTTCCATATATTCGAACAAACAGACGACATCATCGGCGTATTCTAAATCGCACAGTTTTTCCCCACCTGCCCATTCAATACCTACGTTTTGGAGACCACTTAGTGCGTTCTCCAGTATTTCGTCTACGATGAAATTGAACGGGAACGGCGAGAGAGAGAGAGGGGATCCGTGATGAACGCCGCTGCTGGTGACGAACAGTCTACGTGGTTCATCAAAGAACTTTACACAACAAGAGGTATGCGAGTAGTGACCTCGGTAAGTTAACGTACTTCTGGGCATTCCTTTTCGAAGAAGGGATTCCATCAGAGCTTCGCGGTCAGCTGAGTCGAAGGCTCCTATCAAATCAAGGAACATTATGATCATCAGTCGTCGGTGGGTGTGACGCAGCTCAAGAATCTGGCATAACGTAAAAATTTGATCAATACACCCACGGCCAGGCCGGAATCCGGGTTCCTGTTCACGAATGTTGATCTCTCTTAAAGGAGTCAGACGTCGAAGTATGACCGAGACTAGCACTGATGACGATCGCGATCAAACTTATTCCGCGGTGGTTTTCGCAACCGTTGCGAGATCCTTTCTTGAAAATGGGAACGATCAGTGATTCGCCCCAAGATGAAGGAATGCGCTCTTGCGTCCAAATGTTACGCAGTAAGGTAGGAATGCAGCTTACGAGGTTATTGTTGTAGATTTATTATTGTCCTTTCTGTTGCATAGATTGCTGTTATTCTGGGCACATATTCTAACATTTCGCTTGTCCCGTTTTAGCGCCCATGCCTCGTTTTTGGTCGACTAAAGCCTATCATTAAGGTGTTGTCTTCTGGCTTGTTTGCCGACTAAACGTGTGATCTGATACACTACAAGTTCTCATCAACCACATAATCAACTCCGTTACAGTTATCACCCCCATCTTGAAAGGAGTAGGAGGGAGCTCATCCGGTCATGCTGCCTTTCCTCGCTTCACAGCTTGAATGCAAGACCGAACTTCTGCTTCCGTTGGAGGATCGCATGACACTGCCCACGGAGCTTCAGTTGCAGATGAGACAACCTGGTTAGCGGCAAGCCAGCTGAACTGTCCGGTGTAGTATTCTGCCCAGCAATCAAGTCTTTGATCCCTATTGTGAATAGCTTGTTCCATCTTGTCACGGACTGTTTCATTAACCGCAGTTCGCCGACCTCCAGTGTTGTGTATCAGTCGGAACACTCTTTGACTATTCCCTGATGCAGCTGCTACTTCTATTTCACTAGCTATTGTCGCCCACCAGTTCTCACGGTCCTCTTTGAGGATCTTCGTAAGCTGACGTTGTAGATGCCATCTAACTCTGTTTTGATCCTGGTA